CAAGCGCTGCTTTTAAAACTCCCAGTTCCACTTTCTCCCTATCAGCCTGCAGTGTGAACCCTCTGGATTGTCCAGGCCAGGTTTCAACAGAATGGATGACTCGTACAGGGATGAACTAAGTTAAAATTCCCTTGCTCAGCCATGGATGTGCTGGGAACTTAGGGCAGGCCACAGTTTATTGAGCTCAGCTTCCTGTCTCTAGAATTGCATCCTACCTTAAGCACTCAAATGATCAAGGCCTGCTGTTATGTACTCCAGGCTGCGGTCGGCTCAAGTTGTCACTCCAGCTCAGATTCATGACTCTTCTTCCAGCAACAGGTAATCTGGTTTGGGGAGGGGCAGCGAAACCCAACCAGCAGAATCCTAGGTCCTTAAAGGATTCAGGATCCCAGGACCAGGACCCATATTTATCTTATTTTTGCAAAAAAAGAGAAAGATGCTGATTTGGGAAAGAGCCTGCTGGATTAGGCCAAAGGCCCGTCTAATCCAGTATCCTGTTCTCAGCTAGATATTTACGTGCAAGCATGCAAGATAGAACTGAGCGTAACAGCACTCTCCCCTCCTATAGTTTCCAGAATCCGCTAATTAGGAATATACCATCTCTGACCAAGGAGGTAGGGAAATCCATTCTGTAAGCAAAGTGTGTGTGGGGGGGGGTTAAATGTTTAAAAGGGGGCAGTGGGAAGGAACAAAAGCCTCAAGCCCCCTTGGCTACCCCCTAACAACACCCTTGTTGTCCAGCTTGGGCCCACTTAACACTGATGATTAAAATAAGTAAATAAAATTCCAGGAACTGCATTCCTTATCCCCCCCCCCACAACAACAAAACAAACAACAACCCCAAGGTGATTGAAATGAAGTTTGTACAGATCAGCTTAATGTGTCTAATGCCATAAGGTAGGCATTTTTTAGCTCAGACTCCTAGACTGTGTTTGTGTGTGTAAAATGATGTTTCATTTGGGTTACACACCTAAATATTAAGCCTAAACACTGCTCAACAACTACCTCTAGCATTACATTAGATTATTTATTTTTATTTTTATTTTTATTATTATTATTATTATTATTATTATTATTATTATTATTTTGAAGCACAGTAAGGTGTCTGAGATAAAACATGTTATGTTATCATCTGGTTAAACTTACACCACCGTAGCAGAATGCTGGTGGCGAAAGAGCTCCCCCTTGTGCATTTTCTCTGAAATTCCTCTCTTTAACCCACTGCCGCTACCCTCTTGCATTTTGTCCTGTGACAACCGTCCTTTCTCTTTGTCGCCAGATTCTGCAGGACGGTCCATAGAACAGGCTCACCAGCCAGAAATAAACTAGCAGAAGGGGGGAGGACACCCTCTTTGTTCAAAAGGCAGTGTGGGCCGTTTGAAGAAGAATAAGTGGGAGAGAGAGACTGTCGTGCCACTGGGAGAACTAAGAGCATAACCCAAGTCAGTTGCGCATTCTCTTTGGCGGTCACTCATAGCCGAGGGTCTTCCATGAACACGGTCTTAACAGTGTGTCCGTAATTGACTGTGGAAGCCAATTCTGGATCCACACGTCCTTCCACAGTGGGCACATAGGTCTCCAGGAGGGAGATAATCATGATGAGGATTTGCCAAACGTGCCTTCCTCTTAGCTCATTTCTCCCTTTCATCCTGAATTTTTGCTTCTTCAAAGTCCTCAACGCCTTCAGTAGAGACTATTCTCCAGTTCAAGCGCTTGCAGGCCAGTGTTTCTGCATTACGTTTTTCAGATTTGCCTTGAGAGCGTCTTTAAACCTCTCTTGTCATCCACCAGCATTTCGCTTTCCATTCTTAAGTTGGGAATAGAGTACAGTCAAGCTTAGGATCCTGAATGGCTCCATTTTGGAACGTTTTGGCTCCCAAACGCCAAAAACCCCAAAGTAAATGCTCCGGTTTTCGAACATTTTTCAGAAGCCAAATGTCCGACGCGGCTTCCGATTGAGTGCAGGAAGCTCCTGCAGCCAATCGGAAGCCACACCTTGGTTTTTGAACAGTTTCAGGACTCAAAGGGACTCCTGGAATGGATCATGTTCAAGAACCAAGGTACCACTGTAGTTGCTTTGGAAGATGATAATCAGGCATCCGAACAGCATGTCCGTAGTTGTGCATCCACCACTATGAGAGCCAGTTCCAAGACTGCATGGTGGTGAATAATAATAATAATAATAATAATAATAATTATTATTTATTATTTATACCCCGCCCATCTGGCTGGGTTTCCCTAGCCACTCTGGGCGGCTTCCAACAAAACACTAAAATACAATAACCTATTAAACATTAAAAGCTTCCCTAAACAGGACTGCCTTCAGATGTCTTCTAAAAGTTTGGTAGTTATTTTTCTCTTTGACATCTGGTGGGAGGGCGTTCCACAGGGCGGGTGCCACTACCGAGTAGGCCCTCTGCCTGGTTCCCTGTAACTTGGCTTCTCGCAGTGAGGGAACTGCCAGAAGGCCCTCGGCGCTGGACCTCGGTGTCCGGGCAGAATGATGGAGGTGGAGACGCTCCTTCAGGTATACTGGACCGAGGCTGTGAATTCACAGCTGGCCTGGGATATGCTCTTAGTTCTCCCATGAGGATGGCAGGTTCTTAGCAAAGTGTTGCCTGGTAGCCTGCCCTTTCAAACACTCTTAATGCTGATGAGCCCTGCTGGCCTTATCTGGCAGTGGCAGACAATAGCTATTGGACAGGTGTTCTGATCAGCACCCTTGGCAGTGGGACTTTTCCAGTGGATCATCTTATTACAATAGCCAGCCTTCCTTTCATGGAACTCATGGCAGCAGACAATGAGGTTCCCAATTGGGGCCTCCTGCCAGGTACAGACCAGAACCACACCTGCTTAGCTTCATTACTGTTGCTGTGTTCGATGCCTTCAGATCATAGGCTTACAAGAAACTAATTTAATTCTTTCTTTTTAAAAATTTTTTATTAAAGGTTCCAACCTAATATACCATCAAATTCAAACTAAACTAAAGAGAATAATAAAAAACAATACATCAAACTGGAAAAAACTGGAGAAAAAAATACATTAATAATAATCCTCACACGAGCCTCATAAAGCACAAAATTATAAATATATCTATGTAGCGCTCAGTCACGTATCTTAATCTTCACACATACAGAGAGTTGAATCCTCCCACCTCCCACCTGAGAAAACTCACCCTGCCTTAGTCTCCCCCTGAGAAAAGCCACTCTGACCTGCCTCTCATACAGCCCCCTTCCTCTTCTCTCTGTCAGCCCCCCGTACGTGTCTTCATTTATCACAAATATAACTTTTTAGACGTTAAGACGTACATCTAGTGAATACTACTAAGAGAGCCACCAAAAATCAGCGATCACACAAGAAACCCAATCCAAGAGAAAGGAAAAAAGAGAAAGAGAAAGTAGAGAAAGGTTAAAAAGAAGAAATACTACCAATTTCCCTATTTGCCAATTGTGAATATAACTGTTATTCATAGTATTTAACACATATACTCCAGAGCAATTCTAGCTATAAGTAAACATCTAGTTATTGTGTTGAAGAAACTCACTTTATTCTTCCTTCTCTCCTCTTTCCCACAAATCCCAGTGTTTTTCCTTTTCTTCCATAGCCTTGCAGGTTTTTCTGCCCTGCGCTGCAGGCCTCTTCAGCTCCTCCAGGCAATAGTCCTCCCAGCTCCTGCCGTGGTTTTGCCGGTTGCCATAAACCCGTAGATCCGAACTTGCGGTACGACTGCCTCACACAAGCTCGAGTCTGTGGGTATGTGTCGACCTTGGCCAGGACTTCCAGACACGCTGTTGCACCCGGACCTTCTCTCTAGTGTTGGGGCTTAGATGCAGACCCCTCTGAAAGTTGGCAAGACCTGATGTCCCTGCAGCTAAAGCAAGCAGTGTGACAACTTCCAGCTCCCCGTTCTCTGGAATCATTCAGCTGAAAGGGCAGGGGAGAGCACAAAACATGGGAATTTAGCTTCCCAAGAACCTCAGCTTTTGTTTATTTTATTATTTTAAAAAAGAGCAAGATCCTAGTCCATATGCCTCTAAAAAAAAAACATGCTTGGAAGTGTGTGGCGATGCCTGCTAAAACTCAAGAATCCAGAGATGTTGTTGTATAAGATTTTAGTGAATGGGGGTGGACAGGCCTTCAAGTGTCCTACATAGCTCCACACTGCTCCCTATGCTAAGCAAATCCAGATTCAGTGGTGCAAAAATTAATAACAATTATGATGATACTTTATAAATAGAATAAATTATGCAGAGGAGAAACAGCGAACGTTTGCCCTACCGGCTAGTTTAAACAGGTTGCAGCATTTGGACTGCCTGGGAAGATATTTTTCTTTTTCTTTTCAGCAAGCAGTTGGCACAGCCCTGCCATCCAGCCCCATGACCAGCACCAGCAGTTGGCAGGGCTGGCACCTGCCAAATCCCAGAAGCTGCTGCAGACCCCCTCGCCAATCCTCCCTGCTAGGGAATTTGCGATCTCCCAGGCATGCGAGTTACTAGATCTTTGTTCCGATTTATAGGCACAGATTTTGTAAATGCTGCCTAGAAGCAACAGCCTTTGCCCCGGAAGCCTCTTCCCTGTATCTCATATGCTTTGAGGCTGCCTGTGATGATGCAGAGATAAGGGAAAGCTTGATTTTGGACCAGAAGGATCCCTAAGGGCCTCTTATCCAAAAGCCCATGAAAACTGAAGCCAGGTCTTCTCTCTCTTACATATAGCTGGGTGGAAGCCAAGCGTATCTGAGAAGAAAACCCATTCTACTTCCTCAAGGCAGTAGGTTTCCATGATCTTAGAGGGGGCGAAATTGGCCTCTTTCTCTTGGGTGCTAGAGCTGTGTGAAAACCTCTGTCTCCTGCAGCTGGACTTCCTCCTAGCCAATGAATGACTGGTGTCTTCAATCTGCGGCGCTGCTTGTCTCCTCCTGCTGTGGGTCCCGCCACATTTCCAGACGAAACCTGGTTGGGAAGCTTTCCTCCTCCTCCTCCAACTCCTGCTGCGTGGCCTCGTGTTGAGGTAGTAGGTTGTATGGTTTAGAATAACACCATCAGGAGATAACTGTACAGCCTCCTAGCTTTCCCTGGGGCAACGCCACCATCCGAGTTGGTCCACTTGGCAGCGGGGCGCCAGCCGCCATAAGGGTGAGTAGCAAGCAAGGTGACTCCCTGTTGCTGGACGCGATTTGGCTTAACCTCAGAAACTCTCTGCTTTGGTTTCCACATGGGGTGGTGCACCGGAAGGCGAGCCACACGCCTAAAGCTGTAGACTGGCTTCACGAGACCTGGAAATGGTTTGAGAGAGGCTCCTCTTTGTGTGGTGCAACACACACACACATTTATTTCGTCTACGCACCTATTTGGTTGGAGGAGAAAGTTGCACGCCAGCAGCGACCCCTCTTTGAAATGTCCTTCTTCTAAGGGGGCTGCTGTTTGTGCATTGCCAAAAAGGAGGGGACAGGTCTGCATAAAATGTGCACCTGCTAATTCATATGGATAGGTGCAAATGTAGAAGCAAGCACTGCAGTTTAAATGGAAGTTAAATGCATTTGACCCTACTGTGGCAGAGGGGGACGAAGTGACTCGTGTGTCTTCTCAGTCCACTTTCTGGGTACTGCTAACTTACAGGAGAAGTGGAAAGGACCCTCCTGCCCACCCTTAACTATGGCTTTTCGTCTTTAAACCATACTTGGTCCAGCCAGCCTTTCAAGCAGAGAACTGTTAGCTGTAAATTATTATCATTATTACTGTTATCAGCAAACATATACAGTTTAAAAACAAAAACCAAGCAAAAGACATTCAGGAGCATATTAAAGGTAAAGGGACCTCTGACCATTAGGTCCAGTCGTGACCGACTCTGGGGTTGCGGCGCTCATCTCGCTTTATTGGCCGAGGGAGCCGGTGTACAGCTTCCGAGTCATGTGGCCAGCATGACTAAGCCACTTCTGGCGAACCAGAGCAGCACACGGAAATGCCGTTTATCTTCCCGCCAGAGCGGTACCTATTTATCTACTTGCACTTTGACGTGCTTTCGAACTGCTAGGTTGGCAGGAGCAGGGACCGAGCAACAGGAGATCACCCCGTCGTGGGGATTTGAACCGCCGACCTTCTGATCGGCAAGCCCTAGGCTCTGTGGTTTAATCCACATACTTCCATCCAGTGTTTTCTCGAGGGTTGCAGGTACAGCATTCTTCCGCTGCCAAATGGCTGGGTGAATGGGGATGTTTTCAAATTCCTCCTGAAAGTTAATAATGAGGGAGGCAGGCACTCCTCAGTAGGATACATGGCAACCCTATAGCTTCAGAAATCTTGGGGCCGGAGGCAGACATCTTTCTCTAGGTTCAGAGGCTGGAGAGGTTGCTGAATACAATTTTCAGTGGTCAGGAATGAAGATCCAGTGCCTTGCAGGACTCCTTGTGGCTAGCGGAAACCGCACGATTAAAAACTCAAGATTGCCAATTCTGCATAATGCGTTATGTAGAACAAATCTGCAAGTTTGCGTGACAGTTGCCTTTCTTTCGGTGCAGGCCATTGTTTGTGTAAATTACACAACCGGCTGGAACATGCTCAGTTGTCTTCTGGTGTTAGAGTGTGTTGCGTTCGTAGGCATATAGTTTGGGTCCCCCCCCCCCAATTGTGTTAAAACATGTGTATTGTACAGGAGGCTTAAAGACAAAGATTCCGCGGGTGCTGACCTACAAGGGATGCCCGGCCTCTGGGGGTAAAAGGGTTTGAGAAATGGAGTTGACCTTGGAGAGGAAGTGGGGAATGGTGGGCAAGGTGGATGTCTGGAGCAGCTGTAAGAAATGATACTGAGCCTAGGAGAAAGACAGGGGAAGGCATGCAAGTGCTGGAGATATACTTGTTGCGTTTTTGTCTTGCCCTTCGCCCAAGGGTGGCATGCAAGGCCTTTCCAGATGGGAAAGAATGGTGCCATCTCTTTAAGTGAGGTGCTCAAATGCCATGTGCTGCGCAAGCAACCCGGGAGCAACAGATGGCTTTGTGAGTCACATTAGGGGAAATCAGAGGGCACCGAAGAAGCCCGGGACCACATATGGGGAGGCAAGTTCATGCCTGGCCTTAAGGGCATGTGAAGATGTCAGCTGTGCACGTTGCCCCTTGCGCTAAGTTGTGGTGAGGGACATCACCGTGTGATATGCAGGGTCTCTCCACGACCTTTCTGCTGCCCCTTGTGTTCACTCAACTGGGCAGAGAAGGATTTGTGTTACGTTCCCTTGGCAGTGGATGAGCAAAGTGGAAGAGATTCTGTGCGCAGGACTTTGGTGTGTGTGTGAAGGGGGTACTTATTCCAGATAAATTATTCTGGAATCTTGTTTTATTTTAAAGCATGATCCTAGGGGAGTGACCTTTTGGTTCTGCGCACATGGAGAGCAATACGCATTTACAAAACTGCAGGAATATGCAGATCGGGTTGTGTTTTGTAACCTTTGGGAAATAGTGTGTGGTCTGAAGCAGCTCTTTGTTTTACTGCGTGAATTGTCCTTGTTTGTGCTGTGAGCGACTGTCTGGCGTGGTGTGGAAGCTATATTGTGAGATGTAGCCTTTGTTAGCAACACAAAGCCCTTGCAAAAGCAACACATGGAGTTGGGAAGTACCAATTTATTTTTTAAGGGTTGTACCTGTGGGCACTGGGCATGCACTTTTTGGGGCTGGGGCAGCTGCCTGCATGGGAGGGGCTGCTTCATTCGCAGACGGGCCATTTGCCTTGCGCCTCACGTGCCGTTGTCTAGGTAAGTACACGCGTGTGGTGCATCTGTGCTTCATGCGTACACTTAACGTGGAGAGCGTGTGTATTTCAAACGTGAATATGGGGGGCGCATCTCTCTGGGGCAGACCAAAGGTCCCTTGGCTCCAGCATTTGGTGCTCGGCAACGATCAGGCATGATAGCGCGGGCCATGCCCATTTGCCCCATGTAATTTAAGATACACTGCCCCGGAAAATGGAGGCTCCATTCCTCTGGCACGGACGGTTCCGGCTTGTGCCCTGCGGCACTTTTTTTGTCATTTTCATGCGAGGTAGCCGTGCGTGGCTGGCATGCTCTTGACCTGTGGCGGGCCATGCAACATGGCATGTCTGGCTCTTGGTCCATGTGGTGTGGCTTGTGTCTTTTGCCTTGCATTTGCCAGCCGCGTTGTGCCGCGCTGCACGCTCTCGTCCGATGGGCGCAGAGTGTGGCGTGGGTCTGTTTGGGCTCAGCCCCACCTGCCTAGCTCACCTGCCGCTTATTGTCTCGGTTTGCTGCCATTTGAATTTTTCCCAGCCAGCTCCCTCCCTCCCTCTCCGCCGCTCCCTCTTCTCCCCTCCTTCCCTCTCTCTCACTCTCTCTCTCTCTCCCCGCCCTCCCTGCCGTCTGGATCCAGGCAAGTCTGATAAAGTTCCATTCCAGACAACAGCCGCATTGCGTTGCTACAGCATAGACAGCGGCCCAGGGAGAGAGAGAGAGAGAGAGACATACAGCCAGAGCTAAGCGATGATGGGGAGAAAGAGAGAGGAGAGCATCCCTCAATAGGCACAACCACCCGTGAACCACAGCCAAAGCCAAGGACGGAGGATGGCAAGCGAGGAGGGCAGAAGGAGAAGAGGACCAGAACAGGTTAACCTTCCCTGCATGGGGAGTTCACCAGCCCTGACCTGCAGGGTGGGAGAGGGAGGGAATTGGCAAGGGAATAAGGAGGACCAGGATGGAGGCTGGAGGAAAGGGGCTGGGTGGGTGAGTGCAAGAAACAGGCGATAAAGAATAAGGGGAGGGGAAGGGGCTGACACAGAGCAACAAGGAGGAGAGAGGCGATGAGGCAGAGGTGCTGGAGAGGATGGTGGGTGGGGGGACAGGTGGCATGTCAGGGGCAAGAGGGGAAAAGGGAGATGGGTCAGCCTTTGCACACAAAGATTGGGTGGTGAAGGGGATTGGCAGGTAGGTTAATGACCTTAAGTTTGGTGGTGAGGAAGGGGGAATGTGTGGGGTTTTTGTGTGGGAGGAGGCGACTCACCTTCCTTAGAAAGATGAGAAGCCCGATAGCTGTGGAATGCTAAATTTCCATCCTGCCTGCCCCCTCCAGGGGCAAGTGGAAGCAATGATGAGAACAGAAAGAAGCACTCTTTCTCTGGGGTTCAACAGTTGCCACCTGGGGCATCTCTCTCCCTTGTTCTCTCTCTCTCTTTCATATGTCATGTGTGTCTTTCTCCAAGGAAGGCGAAATGCATGCGCAGTGTTCCCATCCCTCCCACCCAGCCAAATCACCGGGGGTTTCTTAGAGAGGTCCCAGCTGCTACCACCCCTGTGGGCACTTCCTGACATAACGGACCCGTGGACCCGTGACCTCATTGAGGGATCCAGTGCATGACCCCCCCAAAAAAAAAATTGCCTCCCCCCACTCCAAAATACAAGATGGACACGCTGTATGCACATTGGAACGTACACACACACCTCGGGGGCCACACCCACCCAAGGGATTCCCATCCTCAGATATACACAAACCTCTTTTGAAAACACTATTGGACTCTTCTCTCAGGGGGAAAAATGTGCGCTCTCTTTCACACACACACACACACACACACACACACGAAGAGTCCTCCAGGACTGGTCAAGGAGGAAAAAATCTGCATGTGAGGGAGCTGGGTGTGGGTGGGTGTGGGAACAGAAAGACTGAGAAAGCGGTTCTTTAGGTTATTCGTCACAGATCGCCTTCCGTTGGGTGCATGGATAACTACTGTTTGTGTGTGGTGGGGTGAGCTGGATTTGGCAAGTTGAAAGCAATGGGAATTATGTGGCACAAGTTCCGTATAACAAGGAGAGAGGGGTGTCTGTGCCGTGCCACATGCGTGTGCCATGAATCAATCCATTGTGCACCACGGAGGCAGCGTGCTTGAAAGGGGCAGTTTGGCAGAGGTCTGTGAGTGCGCGGAGAGAGGGTATTGTTTGCGGAGAGGATGGCGTGGTTTGCGGGCAGTGGTATCGATGTCAAGGTGAATGCATAAAAGAGATCTCTGTGCGGGGAAACATGTGTGAGCCTGTGTGTGCCCGGGGTGTGAGTGCGAAGGAGCGGGCAGGCGTGTTTGCTGTGCGTGCCGTGGCTGCAAATGTTCAAATCCTTGGTATTCCTCTGGACAGAACATGCTCACATAACACAGACCCCAAGCAAAAGTATCTGTTGGGGAGTTGGACCCTGTCTCTGCCTGGAGTGTCTGCATCATAGCATGTTTGGAAGATGGCTTGTATCCAGCACAGTCTTGGGCTGAAGGAAGTTTGGTGTATGTGTGCCCATTTTTGTGTGTGTGTTGTGCATACATCACAAATTGGCCGTAGAGAGATTTGTGTACGTGGTTGCTGACTTTGGGGAGGCTGGTGGCGTTACCTGCAGATGGTTGGGGTTGTCCATTAGATATACTTTTTGGAAAACACAAATGTGCTGGTGCAGGTGTCTCCTATTCTATCACAGAGCCGTTCGTGATGTGGCTTTTGGCTCACCTTGCCCAACGCCTGCGCCCAGCGATGGCAACAAGAAACACACCCTGACCAGGTGAGTTAGTGGGTGGGGAGAAACACCCTTTTGTGTTCGAGGATTGGGCTCCAGATCTCCCTCAGACTTGGCTGGTTATGCTTTTCCATGCAGCCCTGATCAGTGTCCCTCGCCTAACCCAGCGAGTCTCCGTGGCGCTGCTCCCTGTGGACTTCTCAAAGGCCACCGAGGACTGTTTCACACGATGGCTGCAGTCAGGTGCCCACCGCTTCTTTCGGCTTGTGGGTCAGCTGACATGCTCGCCCTGAGCAGACGCTGCCACTTTCTCACGTCGCCTCAGATCAACGCCCGTTGGCAGCAGACGAGGCAGACAGCTTGCCACAATCAGGGGCTGAAGCAGCGGCCATGAGAACCACAGTTGTAGAGACTCAGCCCTGAGCGAGCTGCTGGTTTTCCGTGAGGAGGGAAGTCTGTGCCTTGGTGGGCTGGGGGGGGGGCGCGGTCCTCTCACACAAGGGCTGAGTTCAACAGGGCCCCAGAGCCTCTCTTGAGCTTTCTGGGCCAGCACATTTCCCTGACTTGAAGCCTTCCCAGAGATTGAGCCGGCCAGAGGAGTCAGCCCCCTGACTGCATTGAAATCCACTTCACCATTCGCAGCAGCAGGGGGACAGGCGCAGTTCTGTGTCCTCTGGCATACGCTGGAACATTCCAGAAATGTAGGCCCATCCCTTATCCAGAGTGTAAGGGAGTCTCTCTGGAATCTTAGCAGGAACTACGGCCCAAAATGCAGAAATGCCAAGAGCACAGCGGGTACAGGCTGAAGCTCTCCCCCCTATAATATGCTACCCAACACTGAGGTTGAAACATCCCGGTGGCTTCTCCTTGCCCACCCACTTTCCGCAAACTTCTCAACTGGCGCTTATCGAAATGGAGATCAGGCCCAGGCTTTTCTCCAAATTGAAAGCATCCTTTAGAAAACTTTCTAAGAATGGCGCCCTTCAGAACTTCCAAATTTCCCACAATAGTTCTTTTAATTAAATGTGTCTTGCCTAGCCTGGTTTTGTTTTCATATTTGTTCAATGCTTTAAAAAAAAAAAGAAAAGAAACAGCTTATATCCTCCCAAACAGCCTTCCCTCTTTTTAAAAACCCTTTTTTAAGATTCCACTTCTTATTTAGCAACTGGCTTTGATGCTCTCTTTCGCTATGACCTTCCTGAGTTCACATTACCTGATCTCAGTGTGGTCCCTCCCCCCCAAGCACCACATTCTCTGCCCTTTTGTGATTGTATTTTCTTCGGGGCATACCCTTTTGGTTGCACGTAGTAAAACTCCCACCTTTTTTGGGGGGGGTTGCATTTTCCTGGGTCCATTTTCAGCAACGAAACCTGTGTCCCCCAGACATTGCCAGACCACCAGTCCCCCACCAGCCTGGCCAGAGATCAGGAGTGACAGGACCTGTAGTCCAGCAGCATTTGGGAGGCCCACACATTCCCCTCCATCCCTAGTACTCCAGCGATGCTCTGCCCTGAAAATGGTTAGCTGCTGTAGAGCATCGGTCTTCAGCTGGTGGTTTGGGTCACGGCCTAATCCAAGTGGGTTGCAACAGGAGCACTTCCCATCGTGCAGTTGTATGGTAAAAGATTAATAAATGGGTCCTCAAATGCATGTTTGAGTTACAAGTGCGTCCTGGGTCTGAAAAGGTGGGAAGCTACTGCTGCAGGATATTAGGAGAGGTGGGTGGCAGGAGGGAGGGAGGGGAGGCAGCGGGACATGTACCTTTGCTGCATTTTGATCCTGGTTGCTTGCATACCATTGGGGCAGGTAATAGCGCTGCAAAGTGACAGTGGGCTGTAGCCAACGCTCATTTTTTTCAGAGCAGACCCACTGAAATTAATGGGCAGGACTGATTTAGGTCCATTAATTTCAGTGTTGTCTAAGCAGAAATCAGATGGACCCAGAAGGGTTGGCAGTTAAATAGATCTAGTTGTGGTGGGAGCTGGCAGAATAAAAAGGTTGGCTTCCACTGGACAGAGGGCTAAGTGGGAGGCTTGAGGAGGTGCCGGACTTCAAGTTTCCCAGGATATTGTATTCTTTGGCCTAGGAATTTTTCTTTCAGCTCTCAGATATTTGGGGACTGGCTACCAAAACTAAGTGGTCCCTCATGTGTCTGGGAGGATACTCTGTGTGTGTTCAGGGTAATTTCTTGTTCATCTCACTTTCCATGTCCTAATATTTGGCTTTGAGAATAATGATCCAGCCCTGGCAAAATTGAAATTGGATAATAGTGGTGATAATTTACGCAGCCACCGAGAGCTCCCTGGATGGCTTACAGCAATGATTTTAAAACGCAATATACAATAATAATTACAAACCAACAATTAATAATAATATAAACCTTACTTGCATAAAGCAGCCTGAATTTAAAACAATTCAAAAGCCTGAGTGAATAAAAAGGTATTTACTTGGCACTGAAAAGACCACTAAGAAGATGTGAGGTGAGACAAATGTCATCAAAGAGACCCTGCTTTGAGTGCCAAGTGCGGTGAGCCGAGTGGCTCCAAAGAAGAGAGCCTTTTTCATAGTGGCACCATAGCCTGCCTTCAGTCAAATGCCTTCCTTATGGTATTTCTGGTGCCTTTTTATTCACCCAGGTGTTTTAACTGTGTTTTAAACCCAACCCGCAAACCGCCAGATAATTAGATATGAGTTATGTCAGAAAAGCAACAGGGCGTTCTGTTTTGTATTTTAATTTTCAGGGGAAGCTAAAAAAGAGAATCGCATTGAAAGAATTGACCCAGTTCCGCTGAACTTAAAGGGTGTCATTAAGGCTTCCTTGCATTTCCAAAGCGGCTGCCATCCTTCTGCTTTGCTGCCTGCCTTGGCGAAGGAGGGGAGATTTGGGGATAAAAACGAAACCAGAGAATGAGAGTCTTCCAAGAGACTTTGAGGACCTGCCATGATTTGTGTGTAGCAGCAGTTGAGGAATGGAAGTTTGCTTGCTCTTTTTATTCCTGTCTTGCTAACCTTATGGTGCCTTGTCTCTCACCTGTTTTCCCCCCTCCCAGGTTAAGGAGTCACATGGGGGAACTACCTCCTCCCCACCCCTGCCTGCCACTTCCTGTTATAGTCCCATTATCCTTTCTCTGCCTTCCTGCTTCCTCATTTCCCGGCATCCTCTCTGTCCCTGAGACCCTTAACCTGTGAGGAAGCCCAGAGGTCACAGGTGAGGTTCTTGGGAACTGAGCGGGTAGCCCACCCCCTGCGACCCCCAAACACCAGGGTTCTTGCCTCGTTCCCCCAGGACGGAGCAAAGGGGCTCAGTAGCACAAACTACTAGATGCATTGTGAAATACTGTGGCTGTCTTGGTCATCCAGAATGGTGAAGAAAGCAACTGCTTGAGTGGATTCTATCTTACGCTGCGATTCTATCAAACTCACAGAAAAGCTCTTAAGATGAATGGTTTGCACAGCATCGGCCCGATAGGGTGTGTGATCTTTGTGCTGTATACCTCTGGTCTCAGAGCTAGAACCCATACTGCTCCCATCTAGAATGTCCCATGTCCAGCACAACCTCCTGTCCTGAGTACCAGAACCACAGAGGCTTCGCCTGTGTCAGCAGTTTCACTAATGAAAACAACTTCCTCCAAAAGGAAGTTGCCCTGCTTGAGCTGTTCTTTCTCAGTCTTGGGGGGTTATCGGAGACAACAGAATGCAGAAACAAATTGGCCTGAGCCAAGTTGGGAATGTGCATCTTCATTAGGGCTCGCTTTCGCAAAGAACCCCTGGGAACTGTAGTTTTTGTGAAGGGACCAACAAGTCTCTCTCTCTCAGGATCCCTGGACTTCTTGTTCCCTGCTGCAGCTCCTACAGTTCCCAGGATCCCTTGGGGGAAGAGACAGCAACATTTACACTAGTAAACATCAGTAATGTAAGAGACGCTCCCCTTGTGAAGTGGCAGTGGCAGTGGCACATATGGTACTTCCTCCCTTGAGTTGAGGAGTTTTCGGTACTTTAACCAAGGTTGGGAGAGCCTTTCCCATTGCTGTGTTTGCACCAGCCACAGAGATCCCTCAGCTGCTCCTGTGCAGGCCTCTAAAGGCCTCCACAGAGGCATAGCTGTGAAGCTTGAGAGGTGCAGTTGACCCCCAGCCCAAAGTTATCCCTGGCTGCCTGGAATTGCCATCCATCCCCCGCCAACCCAACATGAACCGCGACTGATTTCTAGTCATTGCATCAAAACCTATTCTAAGCAAGCTGGTAATTTCTGGATTTTCCTGATTGGACCATTACGCATTAATCAAGGGAGCAGTAACGCTGCCTGACCTTCTGCAGTAGAATGTTTTTAACACCACTGAGAAGCATCTAAAGATAACTGGACGTGCTCAGCTTTGAGGTGTTCCTTTATTAGGTAAAGGTAAAGGGACCCCTGACCATTAGGTCCAGTCGTGGCCAACTCTGGGGTTGCAGTGCTCATCTCGCTTTACTAGCCGATGGAGCTGGCGTACAGCTTCCGGGTCATGTGACCAGCATGACTGAGCCGCTTCTGGCAAACCAGAGCAGCACACGGAAACGCCGTTTACCTTCCCACCGGAGTGCTATCTATTTATCTACTTGCACTTTGACGTGCTTTCGAACTGCTAGGTTGGCAGGAGCAGGGACCGAGCAACGGGAGCTCACCCCGTCATGGGGGATTCGAACCGCCAACCTTCTGATCGGCAAGTCCTAGGCTCTGTGGTTTAACCCACAGCGCCACCCGCGTCCCTGTTCCTTTATTACATGTGGTATAATACCAAGAATGACAAAGTACTCATGGTTGGGTACACGGACTAATCGTTTCACACATATGTGGGCAACTCACAGGCAGTCATCAGAGGTCCCATGTGGCCCGCTCAGGTGTTGCCCCCCGCTGCCAAACTTGTGCATGCAAAAGGCTCCCTGCCCTTCTCAGTACCGCTCCATCCCTGTTTTACTCGGACCTCTGTCGTTGTTTAAAACCACCATTTTCCTCTCAGTGTTGCTCCACTAGCACTTTCCACAAATTTCTACCATTATTTAAAACAACAACACTTTCTTCTTTCCAGTGTAGCTCCCTATCACTGCACTCCCAACTTCCCCCTCTTCTGTTCCGTAGCTGCCTCTTGTGGGATAGATAAACCATGTGTAGCCTTCAGCTATTCCATAGTACTTGCTCAAACCTCTGCTCCTGTTCAAAAGTGCCACTTCCTCTCATTTTTCTCCATCCCAGCTTTAGTCAAACTTAACCCTGTTGTTTTAAAACACCACTTTCCCCTGCTTAGTGTCCTCCCTCCCTTGCCATGGCCACTGCTCTTGTGCAACCTGCCTTCAATCTTGCTCCGCGATCCTGCCCCTGACTTTATGCAAATCCAAGATTGTGATGAGGTACGACATCCTTACATTTTTATTATAGAGGGAGATATGACTCGTTACTTCAAGCTAAACTGCGGGAGGCTGGGTTTCTTTTACACCTTCCCCACCCAAGGGAGCAGGTTTGACAGGTGTCTCTGTGCCTTTAAGGCTCCTCAGAGGGAGACACCATCAAATGACTGATCCCCTCTATCTCAGCAACATCGGGGGTCCACCATCCCACCTCAAGAAGAAACTGAACAGGAGGACAGTAGGGTCACTTTAGCAAAACCTGATGTTGTGTGTTTTTCTTTGACATTAAAGAACATGCTATCCAGCCTCTGTTTTTCATATAGCCTGCCGTATCCCAAGGACTCTGCGTAAGTAACGGGTAAGTTGGAAAAGAAATGGAAATATGCAACCGACAGTGCTAGTGAGCTCTTGTCATGCTCCATTTTAATGTTACGTGGCAAAGGTGAATGATTTGCCAGTGGTATGGAGTCCTTCACTCAAGTGTGAGGTCTGTTAATCACATAGACAAGACATGTGGTCTGTGCTGTCAGAGAGTGCAGCACAGCCTACAGCTAGCTGGCTGCACATTGTTCTGTTGTTGCAATTCAGGTGACATATCAAATCCATGAACAGTCATTTTTCTTAAACAGGAGAATGGATGGTAAAGCTCATACCTGCTGCCTGTCTTCTGCAGGTTGCCCTTCTCAGTTATCCTGGAGAAGTGATACAGGCGAGGCAGCACAGGTGGGGCAACCCTGTTTCCAGTGGGTGATTCTAGGTGGTTGTCTAGGGCAGCACTTTTGCTGCAGCAGCCGCAGGCTGAAACCCTTTTCCACTAGTAAAAAGGTAAAGGGACCCCTGACCGTTAGGTCCAGTCGCGGACAACTCGGGGGTTGCGGCGCTCATCTCGCTTTACTAGCTGAGGGAGCCGGCATACAGCTGCCGGGTCACGTGGCCAGCATGACTAAGCCGCTTCTGGCGAAACCAGAGCAGTGCATGGAAACACCATTTACCTTCCCACCGGAGTGGTACCTATTTACTTGCACTTTGACGTGCTTTCAAACTGCTAGGTTGGCAGGAGCAGGGACCGAGCAACGGGATTCGAACCGCTGACCTTCTGATCGGCAGGCCCTAGGCTCTGGTTTAGACCACAGCTCCACCAGCGTCCCTTTCCCACTGGCACCTCTCTACATATGCTTTTACAGTCTGAGACCAGCAGAGGGCAACATCCGAATGGAGTAGCATCCAAGGAAGTATCATCCAAGCAAGATCCCTCGAGGGTCCAGCAGCTGTAATGTTAAGTGAGAAATCCTTGGGACCCAAAGTCTGGTCTGATGCTGCTGATTTTAAGCAGCGTTCAAGCGGTCCTTTGCTATATTTCTATCCCAGCTTTTAATGCAGATGTTCCCAAAGTGAACAGTTCGAAAACAGCAGTAATGAAAGTGGGCTTTCAGGATGAGAAGCAGCATATGGAAAGATCTGTCACATGTCTCAGGGGATATAATGGACACTATTCATAAAGTGCTCGCAGGCAGCCGCAGATTGTACAGTGCTCTTTACTGAAACAAGCTGGGGTTTTCCTGCTACACAATGTGGGAGCTCATTGATGGGGGAAGTGCCATTTCCCTGCACAAGAGAAGTGCCAACTTCAGGTGTGGAGCAGGTAGGTGGGGCAGCTGGCTCTGTTGCATCAGCTGAATAATGACCACTACGTTGAAGTCACATGTTTCCGCAACTATTCAGCGCGGCACATTATGCTTGTGGAAAATATTGGCCCATTAGAGCTACCGTTCATTCCAGCTTTCTTCAGCCTGGTGTCCTCCAGAATGTTTGGGCTTTCCGGGTGAGGTTGATGGGGGCTGTATACCAAAACAGCTGGGGGGCACCAGGTTGTCAAGGCTTTTTTGCTGACACTGAGTGAAGGGGAATGAAAGATAACCACACTTGAAAAGGTGCCTGATTTCTGCTGATAATAAAGTTCAATTTCAGTATTGAATAATTACACACTCCTTAAAAGTGGCTTCTTTAAACCTTGGTTTATTGCCTCTAGTGCCTAAAACAACAACAACAACAACACACCTTTCAGAAACACTTCTATGCAAGTTGCCTCGGCATGTTTGAAGCACCTTTGTAAAAAGAGTGCTTCCTTGCCTGTCTTGAGTAAGGTGTGGAATCTGGTTTTTATGCTAAAGCCTACCTGCCCTAGCATGGGAGAGCCCCCAGACACTGTCTTATCTGAAAGGTAGTATTTTGTATACAGTCACCGCGTTCTGTTTCGGGGGGGGGGGGGCATTAATCCTTTGTGATTACTGGTTTCACAGGTGCACACAGCAACAGGAAACACATGCACTGACAACTACCAACCTTTCTCTTCTGCCTTTGCAGCCTCTTCATTCAGACAGCTGACCAAAACATACAGTTCTGGCTTGGACCCCCCAATTTTGCCTGGGTTGCAAAAGCAGTCCCTAGAATTACTTTTGTCCAGCCCTAGGCTCAACTTGATGCTCTCCAGCTGTTGGATTACAACTCCCTGCAGAGCCAATGACCAGAAATGATGGGAGTTGTAGTCCAGCAACATCTGGAGGGCACCACATTGGGAAAGACTGCCTCAGGGTATCACTGAGCTGGCACTATAAGGGGGAAAACTTTTCCTCCTATAGCAGCAGCGAGGAACCTGTCATTCCCAAGGGCCACATATCCCTTCTGAGCAACTTTTCAGAATTTGAGGACAGATTTTAGCTAGGCAAACACACTCGGTGTGAGGAGTGTGGGCCTAGGGATGGGGGATTGGCATTGGCCTCTAGTGGAGGAACTGCTGCCCTCCTGAGGGTCCAAGCAGCCCTTGCTGAAGCAGACCTGAAAGACCCA